CACTTCATTAATGGAAAACATCAAAGAGCCTCGTGGGCTACAACAAAAGAAACATCTTCTTTCACCTTTTGAGAAATCTAAAGAGGAAAATTAGAGAGCCATGAATGGGAAAAATCATATTTGATACACTCTCTAGCAACAACATAAGAAGCCCCATTTGAATACCTACTCACATACACAAATTGAGTAGAAAGAAAATGAGAGGCAGTAGATATGATATATGTCTTCGACTAGGTCGCTGACTCATTTTCACAGTTTAATTCACCGTTGATTGGTTGAATTGTGTTCAAAAATTTCGATTCGAAAACGACATAGGTAACTCCCAAATGCTCAACAAGCCTCACTCCTTGAACAGTCATTATCTACATGCGAAGAGGATTTATCGTGGAATTTGTAGATGTCATCATCACTTGGATCTCGTTTTGAATGTCTCGGACTAAAATGTCTACCCCATTCAACAATAACCAACGTCCCACGAAAAGAGTAGAGAATTCCAAACACTTCTGGCTTGATTTTACCAAATATTTAAAGACAGCAACATCAAAAATCAATGTAGTATACCTTTGAATTAAAAAAAATGTGGAAGCACTTTCTATGAAATAGTTTTAATTAAAATAATGATGTATTCTATTACATTTCTTCAAAATGGTTTAAAATCACAATTTTGTTTAGTTACACAACGCTAATAGTGATTCTACAAACATCAAATCAACATAAAAATGATTTTAAAGTTCTTTCCGATCAATCACTTTGCAAGTAATCAACTTTAAAGTGATTTTTCAAAAAATATTATAAACTATTTTGATTATTGAAAAAGTAATTGTTAGTTATTATTGAACCCTCTAAATTTATTATATAAAAAATATATTTATATTTTTGACCCTCTAAATTACTTTAGCAAATTAATTCAACCTCTCACTAATTCCAGTATTAGACCTTTTACTTATGGTTCCAACCCCAAAAAACAATAAAGATTTAATAAAAGTTTAAATTCATCAATAATACAGCTCAGGTATGAGGGTTTGATGAACGGATTTAGCCGTTCGTCATTCGATTTATTATTTTATCTGAGAATTTTATAATAATTTTAAATTATTGATTATATAATTAAATAGAAGGGGCAGAAGTGGAAATATAAAAAATAATTGTTTAGTTATGAATTATATATCATGGGCGTGGCAGACAGACACCGTACGCAGCGACGTCGACCATGTACGGTACGTAAGCCCATTCAGAGTGTGGACCCCACAACACCAACCCCTTCCTCCCACTAGTCCACGTCGTCCATCCTCCAGCCGATTAACTTTGGGCCGAGGATTCAGCTCGGCCCAATAACTTTGGTTCAAATTTGAACCGACTCATTTTTAACTTATAAGAAAAAATCAAAAGAATTATTAGCTCATATTTATGCTTTTAAAGACTTTATATGTTTATCCTTATATACGTGAGGATAAAATCATACAAATATTGTTAACAAGAAATTTAAAGAAAAAAGAGAGAGATTTAATAAAATCTACAAATAATTTAGTGTATGACTCTACATACACACTTTTCATTTAATGTTATGGTTTTTTTTTCCTACAAAATTGACTATAATATATATTATGGAGTAAACCTTTCTCATGAGGTTTTAAGTTAAGAATTAAAATAAACAACTTGATACAAAAATTAATTGTAATCTAAAAGGGATTTTGATATTATAATATAATTTGGAATGCATAACATTGATTTTTAAATTTTATTTTATTGTCTTTGGTATAACAAATATGAAGTTGGTGGATTAATTTTTCAATTAGGAGGTCATTGACACTTGGTTCATTGAGGTACCCTTCGATTGGCTTTAACTTTTATTTTAATTGACTTGATGTAAATTATTTATAAATTTTTATCAAACAAAATTTTAAAGATGGTGAGTCTCTTAAATATGAATTATTTTTTTGCCAAGTTGAAGTGAAATTTCAAATATATCCTCCTTTTTATTTATTAAAAAAAAGGGGAAATTGACCAAAGATGTGTTTTCTTTAAACTACTACATTCCACATACCGATGCCATTTCTGCAATAATTGAAGGAAAAGGAGTCTTTTGTCAATTTTGGTAAGGCGATACAATATTAATAGAATAAATTATTATCTTGGAATTGCGTGTAAAATAGGGGGATGTTTTCTTGTTACATGACAATATATTTTTATGTTAACGATGGTTAAAATTATAATTCGGACTTAAAATTTCCCTCTAGGTTCTTATACTTTCACATGCCACAGTTTAAGTCTAGTTTAACCGTTAAAATATCTTGTTTTAATTTAAAAATTAGAGGTTCAATCTCTCATATCTATATTTGTTATGTTGTATTAATAAAAAATATGTGATGGAATCATATATTCAAAGCTATATTTTCACAYTTACAAATTTATCACAACAAAAAAAATTATAAATATAGTAATATTTTTTTCGTATCTAATATATATATATTTTTATCACTAGTAAAATATATTACCAACATACCTAATATAAAATATATTATTGGTGCATCATATTTATGCAATAAAATATATCACTCATATATCAATGTAAAATATACAACTGATATATACATTTACGTGATAAAGTATATCAGAGTAGGATTGATAAAATATACCACTAATGTATCTAATATAAAATCGAATATATATGTCTTTATGTTTTTGTCATTTTTGCAACACATGTTACTATGCAATAAATTTACTATTTATTTATGTCAAATCGGCATAACGCATTTACATTTCCACATATTTTTGTTTCAGGTATACTTTGAGATTAGACTTAACACTCTTTCTTCAATATAGAATAAAGTGATTTAAAATATAAGTTTAGATTATGGATGTCACAAAAAAATTATTAGATACAATACGGCCCGCAGTAAATTATCAAAGTAATAACTTGTTAAGTATCACCTTGAAAAGAAAAGATACATTACAATAGTTTATAATACATATGGCCTATTCCTCTTATCGTCAATTGATAATGGAACTCCATAAATATTAATATAACTAACCATACACAATGAATGAACCGGCGAGTAAATTACTGAAAGCAACAAAACACTGAACTGAACACAAATTTTATTATTAACTAATAAATCTGAAATTAATAATAAAATTCCCTATTAAAATTTAATTTCTCTCTCTCTAAGGCACAGAGGCAGAAAACAGTCAAACAAAATGCCAAGAGTGACATTATAATAAAATAGAAAACCAGCTGTAAAATTTAATCATTGGATTTGGTGTTCTACTCTAGAAAAAAAAGGCACTGAACTTGTTTGGATCTCAATCTTCAACTACATAATTATTTATGTCATCAGTCCTCACTCTT